CACGCAAGAGAATAGAAATAACGGAGTACTTGTAAATGGATCTCTAATCAAGAATGGATTGACCAGGTGGGAAGGCGTTCATTCAAAGTCAAAGTATATTTATTCAATATAGGCCTAACTTAAGCTCTTATTGAACGTCAACAAAAATGTACCACAGGTTCACTAAACTAGACCTGCACAGAGAAGAACCGGCAAGAAACTCTGCGGTCTTGTTCTTTTTGCTATATATATACAGTGTGTCGTTACCATCGCGACAATAAATGAACACACGTCTAACGGTACTTACCAATAATCAAAAAAAAAAATATTAACGTTAAACAAAATCCATAATTAAAAAAAAAATATTTTTCAAACAAACTAATTAAGTAAAAAAGAAACAAAATTTGTAACATCCTATACAACTCGCGCCACAGCGTCGCATTACAAGTCTCTCCTTCTAACAGTATGTTTTGTCTCTTTTAAATTCATTCTACCCATTCATATGCTTTGTGATCTTTACAAATGAACTTTACGTTACAGTTTTATACGTAAGGGTGTTCTAAAATTCCTTGTTTTGGAAAATTTAATAACTCGGTAAATATTGATGTTTAAAGAATGTAAATGTATAATACAATTTTTAAAAGTTATCCTCTATATGTGTGTTCATTTATTGTCGCGATGGTAACGACACGCTGTATATATATATATATTTTTAATGCAATTATACACACTTATTTGGGTATAAAATCAGCAGCAGCCAGGGGTCTTGCAAGTGCAGAGCAAGAGTCATTTCCAAACATCCTTGTCCTCTATGTATTTTTGGATATTATAGTAGGCCCTTGCCATTAAGGTAGCTTTTACAAATTGTTTGAAATTGTTTATACTTAGTTGTTTGTGGATATCACCTATTTTATTATAAAAGTTGATGCATCTTCCAAGAAACGACTTTCTGGTCATTGTCATAGATGGCAGTTTAGTTACAGCAGTTATAAAAATAATTCCTCTCTTTGTCATACCATCATCTCACATAGATGGGGTCGGCACAATACCTGAATTATGTTATTAATGTTATTGGCCCGCGGCCCCCCTTGGCTTGACTTGAATAGCCTCTACCCGGTAACATAACTTCGCCCACCCCTGCGGTACAACCACTATAGCTTAAACCTACTTAAGCCATTGTCGTTCTTAGGTTCGCTGTACTGACCTATAGAGGGCCAGTCACCCGCGATCCCTGAGGCCCCGTTTCCGGTACGGGAATAATACATTTGGAGGACCGTAACGTGGTGTAACCTCGTTTCGGAGACCCCGTCTCCGAGAGGGATCAGTCCTCTCTCGGTCCCTCTCAGCAGCCTCCTTCTTGACCATTACGGTCTCGCAGAAGGAGGTTACGGCTCTCCATGCTACTTCTCGATTCAGCATCGCCGATACGACTGCTGGTAAAGAGAGGTTTCCTCCAATGTAGCTTACCACGATACTCCGCTCCGTCCCCATGCTGGGCATACCGCCAGGGTATGCGTTGCGGAATCCTGGTAGCTTCCATGACAGTGGAAACAATTCGCCGTCGCCTCACGTCCGATTTTACACAGATAATCACCAAAACATCCATGCCCAGTGATTATCTTAGACCTGCAACGTCTGATGGCGAGTCTTTTTGACCACACAGGTGCCCCATATAAGGCTACGGATCGCACGACTCCAGCATACAGGCGGCGAACTTCTTCTCTGGGTCCCCCAAGATTAGGTAGCAGTCTGTGCATTGCACCCGCTACCCGCTCGATCCGGGGGACTAGGCGCTCGAAGTGTTCTTCGAAGCCCCAGCGACTATCAAGGATTAGGCCCAGGTACTTCATGTACCGACCTACCCTTATTTCAGACCCACCCACACGGACACATGAGTTGGGTGGTTCCCTGCCTCTTGGCATCTTATGGAACCACATCGCCTCGGTCTTATGTGGCGCTACTTCTAGTCCTAAATCGTGAATTTTGGTGACGACGATTTCAACCCCAAGCTCGGCGAGCTCTTTGGTCCTCTCAAAGGTATCCCCGTATGCGACTATTAATGTGTCATCCGCGTAACAAATAATGCTCACATTAGTGGGGAGATTGACACGCAGGACAGCATCATACGCGAAGTTCCACAGTAAAGGACCGAGGACAGGCCCCTGTGGAACTCCGCAATGAATCTCCCTCCGGATCTTGTTGCCGTCTTTGTCCCTATATAAGATGTACCTATCGCGCAAGTAGTCTGCGATAACGCCTTGGAGATAAGGGGTACTTGATGGTAAGAAAGCCCCCCCATGATGGCATGCCAGGGTAGAGAATTAAAGGCATTGACGATGTCTAGACTTATCGCCAATGCCACACCACCCTGGAAAACTGCCTGATCCGACAAGGAGCGGACGCGCATGATCGCGTCTATCGTAGAACGCCCCTTTCGGAAACCAAACTGGCTTTCAGATAGATCGGGACCGACACGCGATAGATGCCTATTAAGACGAGCAGCAAGAATTCTCTCAAACAACTTGCCAATCTCGTCCAACAGGCATATCGGACGGTACGCAGAGGGAGATTCTGCTGCCTTGCCTTCTTTCTTCAAGAGGACCAATCTTGAAACTTTCCAAGCTGTAGGAAACGTGGAAACTATTAAATAATTGCCTCACCCTGTCCCCCAGTACAGTTAAACTCAGCACCCAGACCCGACCTGGTATTCCATCAGGTCCTGGTGCATTGTTCCGAGCTCTTAAGCGGCCAACAGCTTGATCTAGTTCTTGAACAGTCACTCCCATGTCATCTTGCCAATCCCACAAAAGTAGGGGAGAGCCTGAGGGACCTGATCGAACTGTTGGGAATAGCGTGTTGATCACTCGTCCCAGTAGGTTAGGGTCTAACGATTCCGTCAGAGGAGGCATCCAAGGCCTAAGCTTACCCAACACCATTCTATAAGGACGTTCCCATGGATCTGTGTTGAGTCCCTCCAAAAGCTCTACCCAGGATCGAGTCTTAGCATTTGCGATTGCGATATGCAATGCCTTGGTGGCCGCTCGGTAAGCCATGTAGAGACTAGTTGTCTCCTCGGCCGTTGCTCGCCTTCTTCTTCGGGCTCTGGTGTATTGGCGTCTGCTCCGCAGACAGACGGCACGTAGTCGCGAGATTTCCGCCGACCACCAGTACACCACCCTACGTTTGGGGCTTCTGGTCCGGGGCATAGACATGTCACAAAGTTGAGTCATCGTGCCCCGCAACCAGGTTGCTTCCCTTTCAGGATTGGACGAAACTCCTTCGCTGTCTTTTGGCCATGCCGCAATATTGGCGGCAGCTTCCAGTAGGTCCCGATTTAGTCGCTTGAGGCACCAACGACGAGGTGGGCTGCAATCACGGCGACTACTATCAGATAATGTGACCATGTCCTCTGCAACCCGCCATCCCGATACCATTTGTGTCGCAGAAGGAGACGCCCATGTTAGGTCGACGACCGACTCTCCTTGCCACCGTACACAGGTACTGACGGACCCCCGATTCAATAGTCGGAGGTCCAGCCCAGCCGCCCACTCTTTTAGGGCCTCCCCTCTCGAATGGTTTCCCCACTCTCTAGCGTAGGCATTAAAATCCCCCAGAACATTAACGGGTCAGGCGGGCAACTGCGGACACAGTCTGCTACCTCATCCAGATACATCTGGTAGTCAGCGAGTAACCCATTGGGAGAGACATAGCATCCGATGATGACCAGGGTTCCCCACTGCACTGCAACGAATCCCCGCCCCCTTCTTAATAGGGTGCAGGGTGGGGCATCCTCCCTTACTTCCCAATAAATGGCTACGGAGCCCGAGTCATCGCCGAACCAGCGGGTATCATCAGGCACAACGTAGGGTTCCGCTATAACTGCTAGGGCAACCCTCCACTCCGTAATTGTCTGCATAAGCAGATTTTGTGCATTACGGCAGTGGTTTAAGTTACCCCGGAGGACTTTTAGGATGTTCGTGGTGATTTAAGAGTCGGTTACCTCCATCACCGAGATTTGACTCGGTACTGCAGCTGTGGTCGCCATAATGTTGGAAACGTTGAGAGCAGTTTCCCCACGCATACCTTTTCTACTGCTCTTTTTGAGCGGCAGGGCGCACTTCCTACCCAATCGGTGTCCAGACGGGCGTCCTAAGTCTGAACAAAGTGGGCATTTTAGAACTGAAGCGGAACAATTCTTAACATACAGTTCACTGCAGGCGTAAGAGCGATTGCTACGATCAACATTATTGGGACAACGGCTTCCAACATGACCTTTCTCAAGGCACCTGTAGCAGTGCAAGGGCCTGGGCTCCAATAATTCCACTCGAGCAAATCCCCACCCCACACGTAAACGTCTGGCTGCTGCTAGCTTACGGACCGCCGTAATAGGACATCGTACCCAGCAGGTTCCCATGCTGATGGGTGATCGACGAACCTCGCCAACTTTGACATCGTCAGCCGAACAACCACTTGCCTTCACGATCGCTGCTGTTAGTTCTGAAGGACCAACAGAGTCATCGAGGTCTCTAAACCGGACGTCGCCCGTTTTTACCGGGCAATTGATACGGACGTTCGACTCTGACAGGATCTCACGCAGCTTAGCCGCCAGCTTATCCGCTTTCGGGCCACAGTCAGTTCCGCCGATCTCCATTAGGATTCCCCCTGTAATGGCACGCTTTTGTCGGATAACCTCGATTCCAAGTTCCTCTAGCTGAATTTTCGCTTTGGCGTCCTTCATTATGCTGCCGTAGGTACCGGTGGAACCCTCTCGTAAAGTAATTGTTACAGCCGCAGATGTTGGGGCACGGACAGGTTTCCTTTCCATCTTCGTGGACTGTTCGTTGGACACATAGTTCATCGGCGACTTTTGTGTCGTCTGGTGTACTTTTGGTCTTTTAGCCACGTCCGCCCAAGACCTTGTTACTGTAGACGCAGAAGTTTGCAGCACAGGCTTCGCTACAGCAGGTAGATCTGCCACAGGTGGATACGTCGGCTTCTGCCGTTTCCTCGCCTTCTTTTTATTTTTCTTCTTTTGCGATCGTGCATCGGCTAAAAAGCGACTGCATCGGCGTTGTTAATTGCTCAGTGACAACCGTCATGGACTTCACTCCCAGTGGTGGGCGTAGCGCCTTATTCGATAACAACCGAGATTCGAGAGCCGCCAATTTACTCTCAATAAACGCTCCAATGCGTTCCATTAGAGCCTCCTCTCCGCTACTGGGCATTGGAGCATCTGCGGTTGATTGAGCAGATGACTTAGAGACACTGACTCTTTCATGTGTTTGTTTACGAAGGTAATTAATTTCCTCCGTCATTTTATCCGCCCTTTTGCTAAGGCTAGAAAGCGCTGAACGAAGTTCAGCATTTTCTCTCTCTAGTCTTGCGATACTTTCGTCAGCGGCGGACCTCCGGGCCAGCTCATTAGCCGCGGCTTTTACATTCCACACGGCTAACCTTAGGCTCTGAACGTAGCTTCCCTTTAAATTGCGGGATCGGTTTGCTATCTCCTCAATGGCTTGAAGTTGACGGTCTATGTGTTCTTCAACTTTTCTGCCTGCCTGAGATCGCAGTTCTAACGCAAACTCCTCTGTACTAGGCAAAGTTGATTTGGCCCTGGACTTGGATGATACCACTGAGAGGTCGGCAAAGTCCTCTTCCGTATCAATCTCAGTGGCCATATCCTCCACTTCAGTAGGAGTTGCCGAGGCAGAGGCTGCTACTGCCTTGTATTTAGCGGCCACCGATTTAATACTCGGAGCCTTTGCCTTTCTTTTTCGCGTATCCTCCGAAGCAACCGATGCGAGTGACAGCTGTGAACCATCAGACTCAGCTTCTTTTAATTCTCCAGATTGAGCTAATCGCCCCCGTCTTCCACGTCTTCCCCTTGAGTATCGTGCCGAGTTAATGGGATCTCCCAGCACGGCTTCCTCCTTACTAAGTTGGTCCCTGGATGTTAGGCGACCCGCGGACGATGTAGATGTATCGCCGCAAAACAGTGTGTTGCCTCCCCCAGATACGATGGGGCTGCCTAGGCTAGGCCTAGGGGTGGATTCTCCGGCATTGCCGGTACTACCCTGGGGTATTAGTATGTTACCCACTGTTTCCATGTTTCCTTTTTTACAAGGGTTTGGTCCCTGAATTTCCCCCCTTCCCCCTGAGCGCTTGGCACTGGAATACCACCAGCGATTCACCCCATCGGCACGCTCGACCTTAGGGTTATGGGATTTTTTATAGAGGTTGCCTTCCTCATGGCCATTCATGGCCCCCGCTCCCGAAGGTTTACGGGTGATGCGGCGTCGGTAATAACCGAAATGCACGTAGCATATCACCGCACTTGTCACGTCCGCTGTTCTTTGCAAAGTAAAGAAACATGGAGTGACATAGAGCCTCGAAGGCCCACCTCGAAGGCAATCCTCCTCAGGATTCCCTCTTGGCCGTTTCTCGAATCTTTAAAGATTCGAGGGTACGCCCCAAACCCACGACGGTTTTGGTCCACGACGGTTTTCCGCTACCACCCATATCTGGGTGGCATTCCCCTATCCGCCACCTGGGGACGCGCCCGATGGGAGATCTGGCAACGCCTCACGGGTAACGACCGGCCCAGATCTAGATTACCTGTTGGGGACCCAAATACTCGCCGAAGCCAATGGTTTAGCAACTCGGCTATTAGTTTTATCAATACATGCTTGTCATGAAAGAATTGGGAAAAAGGGCTAAGTTTGCAGACTACGTCACCATACAGTATATAGTCGATGGCATAAACGACTACGAATCAAACAAATTATTATTCTATGGTGTTACATCCTATTCAGTGCTCAAGGAGAAAATAGCATTGTATGAAAGTTACAAACAGAAAACCAAGAAGAGTACTATAAGCAAAAGAGAAGTAACAGTAATGAAGCCGATGGCACAACGGGAAACTGGAGGACAGACATTCCAACGTTGTTACAAGTGCGGTGAGAAAGGGCATCTGTCGAGTTCCTGTCAAAGAGGTGTAAAATGTTTTAGGTGTAATGAGTTCGGTCACATAGGCGCAGAATGTAAGAAAACGGAACCTGTAATAACACAAATGCATGCAAAGCGGGATCGACGATCGATGTTCATTCAATATCCCACGCTGACATCAGAGGGCGCTAGTTCCGCTAACGTGGACGTGAATGAAGAAGGTGAACGTGAACGAAATGTAATGAGTTGCGATCCGAAGGAAAGAGCGAGTGCCTGCATATCAAATGTTTGTGACGGTAAGGGGATTCAGTGTCAACTTCAAAAACGTCAGTCTGTATTTAATGTAGATAAAGGTGATGCGATAATTAATAGAAGCATAAAAAATGTAAAAATAGTTAATTTCGTGACGAACTGTTTAATTGATACGGGTAGTGATTTAAACTTAATAACTTTAAATTTCTTTTCTAAATTAAATATTGGATATACACCTGTCAGAATGTTGCTTACCGGGTTGGGTTGTTCACAAGTATTTTCAATCGGTAAATTCGACACGGAATTAATTATCGACGATCACCATTACAATATTAATTTTTATATTGTACCAACTAATGTAATGCCACATGATGTAATATTAGGTCAACCATTCTTAGTAAATACTGTTACGGTTATAAACAAAGGTGCCGTTGAAATTAGGCCTCCATGTTACGATAGTTTATATCAAAATGCTATATGTCTTTTTTCCAGTAATGATGACCAATGTAGTGCGGTAAAAGATATTATAAATGATTACGTACCTTTGAAGACCAAAGATGCACCCATTAGGCTGAAAATTGTTCTAAAAGATGATATTCCAGTTACACAACGGCCTAGAAGATTAGCTTTAACCGAAGAACTATTAGTGAAGCAGCAAGTTGATGATTGGTTGAAGATGGGCATCATTCGTCCTAGTTATTCTGAGTATGCAAGTCCCTTAGTATTGACAAAGAAAAAAGATGGCAGTGTACGAGTTTGCGTAGATTATCGAAAGATAAATCAGAAAATGGTGAAAGACGAACATCCATTACCTGTAATCGACGACCTTATTGACAAATTGAGTAGAGTGAATGTGTATAGCACACTCGATTTAAAAAATGGCTTTTTCCACTTACCAATTGAAGAAGAGTCGGTGAAGTATACATCATTTGTAACGAGTAACCCTGAAGGCCAGTATGAATTTTTAAGAGCACCGTTTGGTCTTTCTATCTGTCCTAAATATTTTACAAGATACTTAACATCATATTTGCGGATTTTATAAGAACGGGAGTGGTTTTGATATTTATTGACGATATAATTATACTTTCAAAAGATGAAAAAGAGGGAATTGAACGACTTAAAGCTTTGCTGAAGGTGGCAGCGGAGTATGGGCTCGAAATAAATTGGAAGAAGTCACAAATACTACAAAGATCTGTTGAATTCTTAGGCTACCATATTTCCAATGGAACGATAAGACCATCTAGTGAGAAAACAAAGGCTGTTATGACCTTTCCAGTGCCTAAAAATTTGAAAGAACTGCACAGCTTCATAGGATTAACTTCGTACTTCAGGAAGTTTATTCAAAATTATGCTTTAATAGCGAAGCCATTAAGTGATTTATTGAAAAAAGGTGAGTTTAAGTTTGAGGATGTTCAAAGACAAGCTTTTGACGAATTAAAGTCAAAATTATGTTGTGAACCAGTGTTGAAAATATTTGATGTTCATTTGGAAACTGAATTACATACAGATGCTTCTATGCATGGATATGCAGCTATTTTAATGCAACGAGACCCTAATGATGGTTGTCAACATCCTGTTCACTACATGAGCAGAAAGACTACAGAAGTTCAACAAAAGTGTTGCAGTTACGAGTTAGAAGCTTTAGCTGTTATTGAAGCCGTGAAGAAATTCAGAAGATATCTTATTTGAATACCCTTTAAAATTGTCACTGATTGTGAAGCCTTTCAAAAAACCTTGAACAAAAAGGATGCATCTGCAAAAGTAGCACGATGGATACTATACTTACAGGATTTTCAGTATTCTATAGAACATAGAACAGGAGACAAGATGCAACATGTTGACGCATTGAGCAGAAACATTTGTTTTGTTGATGTTGAGTTACATGCGAGAATAAAGAAGGCACAAGAAGAAGATGAAGGGTTAAAGATTATCAGAAAACTATTAGAAAAGAATGGATATGAAGATTATTTTTTAGAGAATGATGTTATCTATAAAGGACCGGAGAAGAAATTGGTATTACCTGATATGATGGATATGGAATTGATTAAAAAAGCCCATGGAATTGGACATTTCGGGAAGAAGAAGATTAAGGATATAATAGAAAAAGATTATTGCATTACAAAACTAGACAGTAAAATCGATAAGATTGTTTCTACCTGTGTACCTTGTTTATTAGCGAGTAGAAAGTCTGGTAAGAAAGAAGGCTTTTTAAATCCATTTGATAAAGGAGAATTACCACTGGATACTTTACATTGTGATCATTTAGGGCCATTAGATGCAACTAAGAAAATGTATAACTACATACTTACTGTAATTGATGGATATACAAAGTTCGTCTGGATTTATCCTGTTAAGACTGTGGCAGCAAAGGAAACCGTAGAAAAGTTAAAGTTGCACCAGAAAGATTATGGTAACCCACGGAGAATCATAACTGACCGAGGAGTAGCTTTTACAGGGAATGAATTTCAAGAGTACTGTCAAGAGGAAGGCATTAAACATATCACTATTGCCACTGGAATACCACGCGGAAATGGTCAAGTTGAAAGGGTGAACAGAGTTATTATTTCTACTTTAACAAAGATGTGTATAGAAGAACCAGGCCATTGGTATAAGCATGTAAGCTTCAAAGAGTCATTAATAGCACATATCAACGGTCAAATAACACAACACCTTTTGAATTGTTAACGGGAGTGAAACTTAAGCTGAAAGAAGATTTATCTATTATGGAATACTTAGAAGAGGAAAGCAGAATCGAATTTATGAGTAGAAGAGATGAAACAAGAAGAGAGGCTAAGGCACAAATATTAAAGATCCAAGAAGAGAATAGAAAGACATATAACAAAAGACGTAAAGAAGGAGAGAAGTACAAGCAAGGTGATCTAGTTGCTATACAACGTGTACAGTTTGGAACTGCGTTAAAATTAAAACCAAAATTCTACGGACCATATCGAATTACAAAAGAGTTGGGAAGGGGTAGGTATGAGGTAGAGAAAATAGACAGAGGTAAAGAAGGGCCGATAAGAACTACATCAGCTTCAGATTATATGAAGAGATGGCCTTGATACAAATTGTTTTTTTTTTTGACCGATTAAGTAATTGTTTTTGTAATTTTGTATTTTTTAAACATCTACTAAAACTGCCTAAACTACCTGTGGTTGTAAAGGAATAAGCTAATTAGTGTTGTTATTTTTTTTGTTGTATGTTTAAACACTTATGTCTATGAAGAAGGAAAAAAAATGTTAAGTACTTAGTATAACTGTGGTAAAGTAGCTTCAGTCTGAGGCCAGACTGATTTGCAGAATGGCCGAGTTGTAGGATTAATTATTTAATAGTTGAGTAAAAGATGATTTTTGAACGAAGTATTGTGTGAATGAGAACGATGGATGACGTAAAAGGGGATTGAGGGACTCTCTCGTGTATCTGTCTTAAAATGTAGTAATTTAAATAAAGATGAAAATAGTAACAATGTACTCAAAATAAAGATTTTATTTATCCTACGCCTACATATATATATATATATAATTTAAGTATATCTACTTAAATAAAAACACCATTACATACAAATGAAAACACACGGGGACTTCACGGCTATTGGATTTTGTACCCAAAACTGAAGTATAAACACAAAGGCAGAATAAACTTTAAAGAAAATAAGCAACGTCCACAACACCGCGTAGACAACAAGACAGCTTGAAATTTAAAACTTTACTTTTTATTTAATTGCAAATAAAGGCCTTAATTAGAATTTCGTAAGAAACGGACTCTAAAGCTCTCAGGGCCGAGGGTAATCGTTGTTTCTATTTTTAACGGTGCCCAAGGCCCGAGAGTTAATTGTGGTATAAAAAGCGTTTCCGCTAAAATTTTACGGCAGAGTGACACAGTTCTTTTCAGATGTTTACACTCGGAGAGT